AAAGTACCAAGCTGGGGTGGGTGGGAGCAGCCATGGGCAGGCTTTTCCGAAGATTCAGAGAGCTTTAAATCTATTCAGACCTTTTAACTGGTCCCGATTTGATTCGGATTTGGAGATTTAGCCACCGAATCTCCTCCGAATCGAATCACCACCCGAAGCTTTGTACAGCCCTAGTTTTCACCTTCTGCATGAACCAGGCCAGAGGATTTCATCCAGTTATTTGTGTTTTGAGCCCCAGAACTGATGCTGGAATAAAGCAGTTTCTAGAAGGGCCACTGGCCTTCACTTCAGAGGTCCCCACAATACTCAGGGACAAGAACGTCACTCTTCATCACCCAGTAGATAACAACCTCACACAAAGGCAGCCAGCAGCTCCTCAACAGACACTCCAGTAGGACTTACACGTGGCTATTGCCCTAGAACAGTGGTCCTCAACCTTTTCAGACTTGAGGCACAACACATTAGACTCCATGCCCCCTTACGTAACATTTTTAGTTGAATGACACCCAGTTTCAAAAATGAATTTATAGATTACAGTGATTACCTCCTTGCAGAGGGGACAGGCAGTGGGAATGGGGGATCATCCAAGGAGGGACAAGCCTGAGCCTGATCTTATCTGCTTAGTTTTGCAGTTCATTTCTTACCACCTCACTTATCCCTTCACACCTCTAGGCACCCTTCAAAAGTTCTGGTGACCACCCAGGGTACCTCTGAGACTCAGTGCCCTCGGTTCCCACTGGGGCTCTGGACGCCATTCTGCTGGATGCTGTGCTTTGAAGAGACAAGACAGGCATCTTGCAAAGAACTGGATTGCTTAGTTAGCCCAGCCACTGAAACAGCAGAGCCAGACTGCCGAATGCAAAGCTGTGTGTCTAGGAACAGACAAGCCAGACTGCCAGAATGAAAGACTGGATCCTGGAAAGCAGAGACTCAGAAAAGGAACAGAGAGGACAAGCATTTAGCATCAGCTATTTGCTTTGCAAAATAGGACTAGTCCTGTCCTTGATAGCATAAATAGACCAAATGAGCCAGAAGGGACAGTGATGTTTACCTTCTTATACAACCATGCTGAACACTGTGTCCAGCTCTAGTGGTCACAATTTTTAAAAGGATGTTAAAAAATTGGACACAGAGCAGAAAAGAGAGACAGAGAAAGGATTTGAGGGCTGGAGAAAATAAGCTCTCTCTCACTGTAAGGCAATCTGTTTAGCTTATCAAAACAAAGATTGAGTGGTGGCTTGATTGCAGCATATAAGCAGCTTCCCAGGGAGAAAATAAAAGGTACCGAAGGGCTCTTTAATCTAATGGAGAACAGCAGAACAAGACCTGAATGCCGGAGGCTGAAGCCAGCCAAATTTCAATTGGAAATAGAAACTGGTTTTTAACAGCAAGGCTGATTACCAGCAGAACAAACTCCCAAGGGACGTGATGGATTCACATCTCTAGAGCTCCAGCTCAGGACTGGAAGCTTTCTGGAAGCTTTGCTTAGTGGAGGCACACAAGTTATTGGGTACAATATCAGGGTAATTAGGTGCAGTTTAAGGTCCTGTGAAATACAGAAGGTCAGATAAGATGATCTAATGGTCTGCTTGGGCCTTAAGCTCTAGAAATCCCATGGTTGGCCAGGAGCTCCGTAGTGAGGGGCTTTGAGAGGCGGGGAGGGGCCTCTGCTGCAGTCCACAGGGAAAAACAAAATCAGAGCACTGGAGGGAACTTACTTATTTCATTTATTGGAGCGCAGAAGCACAATTCAGAAGGATATCAACAGATTAGAAAGCTGGACTGGAGCTAAAAGAATGAAGTTCAAGGCTGACAAATGCAGGGTGCTGAACCATGCGAAGAATAAGCAAAAATAGAAATACAAAAGGGGCAATGCCTGGCTGGAAGGCAGCGCTATGGAGAAGCATCTGGGGGTTCTGGTAAATTACAAACTCATCTTGAGTCTGCAGTGTGATGCAGCTGTACAAAAGACAAATTCGGTTTCGAGATGCATCAGTAGAATCGTTAAGTGCTAGACATGGCAGGCAATAGTGCCTTTCTTACCTGGCACTGGTTAGGCCTCTTATAGACTGAGTACTTTGTGCAGTTTTGGGTCCCAAATTCTGAAAAGGATTTGGGGAAGGTTAGAGAAGGTTCAGAGGTGGGTGACAAAAATGATAAAGGGCTTGGAAAGCAACCATAGAGGAGAGATTGAAGGAGCTAGGCATGTTCAGCTTGCAAAAGATGCTTAAGAGGGGACATGGTAGCAGTCTTCAAATACCTGAAGAGCTGCCATAAAGAGGGGAAGCACCTTTTCTCTCTTCCTGCAGACAGTAGGGTACAAACCAATGGTTTGAAGTTGTAGCAAAATAGGTTTAAATTGGATATCAGGAAAAACTTCACTGTTAGAGCAGTAAGGTATGGGAATAGCCTGCCTAGGGAAGTTGTGGACTTGATCACTGGAGGTGTTCAGGAAGAGATTGAACAGGCATTGATCAGGAATGACCTAGGCATAGGTATGCCCATGTTCTATTATGGCTATTTCCCATGCTTCTGCTTTGCTGGTTGCCACATGGGCCTGGGAGAATTGTTTTCCCCCTTCTTGCTGCTACAGGTCAGGGTTTTTTTTAAGCCCCTCCCTCAGAAGCACTGGGTGTCAGCTGCAGCCAAGGCTAGGCATTTTGATCGGAGTATGCCAATGCTCCTGCTGGGACTTAAAGCTGGCCAGTCCTGGGTAGATGGTCTTGTTCCTCTGTTCAGGGTCAGACTGATTGCTGTATTTGGGGTTAGGAAGGAATTTTCCCTCGGGCCAGGTTGCTATGGACAGTAGAGAATTTTGCTTTCCTCTATAGTGGGGCCTGTGGCCCTCTTCCTGGGATCTCTCAAGCCTGTTTTAACAGGCTTGCAGCAGGACATTGCAGCAGCAAGACATTGGCTGTTTTGTCCCCCTAGCTTTATCTGCAGCAGGTTAGGGTGTTATAATCTTGTGTTGTGTCAGGTTTGACTATGTTGTTTTGCTAAAAGGTTAGACAATGGATTTGTATGGGAAGGCTTGGATAGTGATGATCCTGCCTCAGGCAAGGGGTTGAACTACATGACCTATGGAGGTCCCTTCCAGCCCTACTTTTCTATGGTTTTCTTGATTTATATGTGGCCCTTCCCAGAAAAGGCTCAGAGCAGCTTATAGTAAGAAAATAGAATTGCTTAGAAACAGGAACACAAAGAGAAAAAAGGAACTAGAATATCAGGATAAATCAGACCTCCTAAAACAGTATCTCACCCTAGCTTTGTTTGTTAAATGCCTGCCCAAATAGGAAGGTCTTACAGCACTTCTGAGGGATATCCAGGTTTGGGCTGTGGGAGGCCTCAAGAGGAAGGGAACTCCAAAGCTGAGGAGCAACTACAGAGATCCCCCATGTGTTTTTGCCAAGTTGTACTTGTAGAAGGTTGCTCTCGATTGACCATATGGATTGCAATGAGGTATAAGGGAGAAGGGAGTCCTTTAGGTAAGTAGGGTCCAGTCTGTTTAAGGCCTTAGAGCAGAGTTTCTCAACCTCTGGGTTGTAACCCAGAAGTGGGTCACAAGAATATATGAAAGGGTTGCAAACAAACTTTAAAAATGGATTCTCCTTTAAAAACGAAAAATGGGAGAAACTGTGACTTTTCCCTTGCAGGCTGGCAGAGTTCCAGCTTGCAAGGAGCTGCTTAGGCCCCCCCGCCCCACCTTCTCCACACACTGGGAGGCTAGGGGCAGCAGGTCAGGAATGAGGGGCACTGGATCAGAACTGGCCCTTGATGTTTATGAATGGGTCGCAGTACAAAAAGTTGAGAACCACTGCCTTAGAGGTCAAAACCCGCACCTTGGATTTCTCTTTTATTAATGAAAGCAAAGTTTAAATTGTGTGGGGAATGGAAGCCTCCCCCTACCCCCAGTATCATGAAAACAGAAGCCCCAACACTAGTCTGGAGGAACACAACACACAGCCATATGACTGACCAGGGCAAGCCCAGGGGCCTGCCGTGATTCTTTTCAAGCCACTTTGTTAGCTGAAGGATTTGAAAAGCAAAACTGCAAGTCCTATGACCCCTTTCCAGTGACTCGTTCACCTGAGTCTGCACATGCATTTGCTAGCTACATGTGCTGAAGGCTTGCTCAGCATCACTACAGCTCACTACTGGCAACCTCCCATTGCAAGATGGCTTGCATGTGGCCCTCAATAAAGCTCGAGCCATGCATCTGTTGTAGCCCATGGTTTTCAAAGTAGCTCCTACTCTCACCCCCACATACACACTGCTCCCAAGACCTCCAGGTGACCCACCTGTCAGCCCACATCATCACCCAATGCCCCCTAAGCTGCAGAACATCAACTTGCTAACATCAGATCTGAAGGCAACTGAGATGGTCCAAGAAATGGGATTTCTCTGTCCAAGACCTTTGCAGAATTGACTTAAAGAAACTGTTTCAGTCCTGGTTTGAGACTTTTTAATGCCCTGCTCATTTCAGTTCAGAAAGGGACCATTAGATGGAAGCAGAGAGCCAGGATGCTTCACACTCCTGGTTTCTTCTTCCTGACAGCGATTAGCAAACAGTTGCCAAACACAGCTGTTCCTGAGCATTGAGCTCTTTGAGATCCAAATTGCATGTCAGAGGCTAAGTCAGAAGCTAGGGGGTAGGAGCACATAAAATGGAGTTGCCACAAAGCAGACCTGCAGAAAGGCATTTACCCTGCATCAGTAAATTCAGCACTCAGGTGACACTCCTGTTCTTGCTAGGACCAGACAACTGTTCCTTTTGCTGACATGACACTCCATTCCACATACCTCTCTCACCCTTCACATCCAATCTCTTCCACAACAATGCTGTAGGCAGCCTGCCCATGAGCAGGATCTTGCTGGACAGGCGGGGGAATGCAATACGGTTTTGAAGTTGAGACTTTCCAAATTCAGGTTGATTAAAGGCAACAAAATTTCAGTTTGCAAAATGAAATGTGCCAGTGAATGAACAGAAGTCATAGGCTGAGTCCCAGAATGGTAATTCTTTAATGTCTGCCTTGAGGAAGGATCAGCTGGTACAGACACAATCAAGTAGGAAACATGATCTCTTAGAGCAAGCTTTTACAAAGTCAAAGCAGATTAAGAGCTATTTCTAGCAAAAAGGTTAGCACAGAGCTGCTAAATACGTCAGAGAGGAGTTGCAAGCACCACTTCCATACTATATAGCTTATCAGTGGCATGGAGCTGGCAGGGCCAACACGTTTACAGGCCTACCATCCGATTTGCTAATTTGGAAAAAATCTATTCTCACCGGGCACAAAAAACTCGTCTTAGGTTTACTAGTGATTCTAGCATTTAGGGACAGACAAGACTGTAGAGTAACACACATGAATAGGATTCTTTATTGAGGCTGCAGCACAGAGATAGATCCTGTAGTACATGCCAGCTCTCAGGCTTACTCAAAGGCTGCTGTCTAGATTACAGTGACAAGTGGGATCTGATCAAGTTTGCATCCCACCTGGTGCTGAGAACATTTCTGACTTGCATGCAGTCCCTTAATGAAAAAGAGCAACATACATGCCTAGCACAAATCCCTGTCTGGACTGAGATTCTACTGACTGGGAGAGAAAGTGTCTCCTGCCATGCTGCTAGCAAGCAAGAGGGTTTTTAAACACTTCAGTTGGTAAGGGAAAGGATCATTCATATGGAACCAGCTCTCACGCAGGGTGGAGCTTCTCTCTCATGTTGGCCTGACAGTGGAAACTTGGTGCCCCTGCAAACTATTTAGAATCAATGAGAACTGCAAGCCCTAATACTACAATACTAATCTGACTTGTAGTGGATTTCATTTCCTTCCCAAACACTACTATATAGAGGAGGCAGGGCCTGCAGAGGCATGAACTGCCCCATCCATCTGTGGGTACAGAGCTTGTGATCTGAATGTTGTACATTTCAGTGGCCATTATGCCCATGTGCCTCACTGTGCCCAAAGATCCAACAGGTCCCTGCCCCTGCCAAAGGCTCCAGCTATTCCAACTTCTACAGTATATGACACTGTCAGAAAAAATCCACAGCTGCAGCAGCATAAAATTCACAGACTCTGAACTCAGGGGTGCTTGGCCATCTAAATCCAATGGAGATGAATGGGAGTCATGGGTGCCCTGAGAAGCATAGTCCTTTGGTTTGAATCCTGCATTTTCATATCCCTGAAGCTGCTAGTTTATTTCCAAAATGCAAAGGTCTTACTGCTGAATTCAGGTCATGGTCACTGCAGGGCACACAGGGTACTGGGCATAGAGATGCTAATTAGCTTGCTCACATCCAGAGCAAGATGAAGCCCAACCTGGCAGCAGAGTTTGTGCTGGTCTAACCAGTAGGCAGCCATCTGCAGCCTACTAAAGAAAGGGCAGGTTTTACTGCTAAGAATGCAGACCCCAAACGTCACATGCTCAGTGTAGTACTGACAATTACTAGCCCACTGAACTACCCCAAAGACAAGCTGGCTCTAAACTGTGTGCTCCAGAGTTCAATGTGCAACTTGAGTGCAGACTTCAAGAATAGGTTGTTCCTGCCTTCCACTCTAACACATTAGACAGGGGTGAGCTTACCTGCTTCAGAGAACATGTTGCTGGACAGTTATCAACCAGCAACATAGGAAAATACCATCAGCTTATGGGTTAGAGTTAGGAAAACTGAAAAAGAAATCTTACAAATGGATACTGGTGGCAGTGCTGTTCTGCTACTTCCAAAACAGCTGGAGAGGCAGAGGGCTTGGGAGAAGAAGGAAGACAGTCATATGAAGGGGAACAAGAGCATGAAGTCAGCTCCGACCAGCCCTCAACAGACCCATGACCAACTCCACAGGTAAGCTGTGTCACCTTCATAGAATCACAGAAATGTAGGGCTGAAAGGGACCTCTGGAGGTCATCTAGTCTAGTCCACTGCTCAAGGTATGATCATCCTTGTCCAAACCATCCTACACAAATCAGAGAATAAACCTGGGGAGCAAGTCTGGATCCAGCTGGCTTGGAAGGCGCTGTTCCCCATCTTATTAATTCCCCTCCCCCACTCCCCTTCCCCAGCTGATAAATTAAATCACTGCCCAGCTAGGTCAACCCAAAGGCTGAGAGATGATCATGGCTGTCTCCTCTGCTGTCATGCCTCACAGAAATGGAGATGTTCCCAGGCTCTACTTGTTTGTTAAAGTCACACCCGTCAGTTGGCTGTCCATCATTTATCTTTGTTAGCTTCTGTGGCCCAAAGGTCTGTAAGAGAAAAAAGGCTGGCAAATGAAGTCTATGCAAAGTCCACACTGATCCTATCAAGCTGGAGCTCCAAGAGTACATGGCACGTGAGAAGGGAGCTGGTGACTTAGGGACAAGTCCTCCTTGTTCAAATAATTTGTTATCATATGCTGGAGGTATCAGAACAGTGCCATATTAAGGATGCTTTCAGTTCTCCACTTAAAACTTTAACTTTTTCTGGATTAATTTTATACAGCATCCGCCCAAAACTCAAGAGCACTGTGCTCCAGCTAGAAGGGGGATTGGGATTATCAAGCAAACCTGCTAACTGACAAACCTGCTAACCTGGGCCCCTGAAGATAAAGAAAAAAACCCTTTCCCACCTCCTGGCATGTTCTTTAGGTAGCCAACATTAAAGAATATGTATGGCACCGCTTGGCTGGTACTCCAGGGAGTGCTGTGTTGCAGAGCTGCTCTGATTATGTAAAGTCACACAGCATGCAGGTGGCAGCAGAGTAAGAAACCAACCAGGACAGGGTAAGGGGAGGCTTCCTCATGCCTCTGCACAGCTAGTCAGCCATGGGAGCCTGGGGAACAAGCTTCGTTTTGTCACAGGGATGGAAAGACTATACTTGCTCATTCTCCTCAGAGCTGCCAACATGGGAGGGCAAGTGGGATGTGGCACATGCTTTATGTGGCATGGCCTCACTTTGGTGGTGATCGCACCACACGGAAGGATGGATGAGCCTCCTACAGCCTGGTCTAAATGAAGTGGATCCTAAAGCACACATCTCCATTGCCGATGCTAAAGGCAGCAGAGACCTCAGGGTCAATTCCCACTGCCAACAATCTGCCCTGCAACTGACTGACTGATGACACCCACCCTAATCAGAGGACAAGTGAACACCAGTCACTGTGCAGAGGGGCCCCACTGCCCTTTCTACATCAGATGGGCACTTCTCCAGTTGTGTTTATAGCTTGGTTTCCTCCAAATCCCCAAGGGCAGATCCTAAGTCAGTGTAAGTTCTTGCAGTCTCGCTGGGCATTTTACACATGCTATGGAAGGCATGGATGGGTGCTTTAATCAGCAAGTCATGCTAATTAAAAGCGCCTGAGCATCACATGCATCAGCATCCCCCACGCTGAAAAATATCACCGGGGCGCTTTGAACTAAAGCTCATTGAACGAGCTTTAGGCTGAAGCACCCCACCACCATTTTTCAGTGTGGGGTTGCTCATACATGTGACTCTGTGCATTGGAGCCGGCTCCGGCAGAGTGCACTGGAGCACTGTGCACTGGAGCCAGCTCGCTGCATGTCTACAGGAGCCCACTGATCCCTTAAATTCAGCCCCTTTGTTCCCTATGCTTGCTAGTTCTGCCCAGGTTAACTCAAGTCCCCTAAATTTCACACAGGTGGGGTTCAAGAAAGTTAGACAGAAATGCAACAAAGCATTAAGAAACCATGGGCTAAATGGCCACACATTTGCTCTCACTAACCTTGTACTGTGCCATCTCTTAAATGCCTTATTCCTTGCATGGAATGTGTGAACTATGGTTGCCATGACCAAGAGCATTGGGGGTTCTTTGGGAAGAGATCCCAAAGGAACTCTCTCAAACTTCCAAGAATTTTGGAGAACAAATTCTGCTTCCCTGGCATGATACAGATGAACCCACCTATATGTTATAGTAATGGATTTAAACAACTGCCAGTGTACAGGGCACATAATGCTACTCTTTTCAGAGAATCTGTCCAGAAAGGTCTCCTCTACAACATATACCTTTCACCTGCTGCACCTGAAAATGGTTACAGCCATTACCAAGATGTCTAGTGCACAGGCACTGAAAGGAAAGGCATCGTGGCAAATAGGCATCATGGTATCCACTCCACTGACAAGTCCACCAGAGCCATGTCCCCAGCTTCTTGGGGAGTGTGTGGGGATGCCACTGAGTGACTGAGGACCCTGGAGTGCTTAGGCTCTGCTGGGCATCACCATGCATTTGCTGCAAATGCATCATTCCCGGGACACAAAACCCTGTGTTGCTAATACCTCTGGTTTCCATGCAGCAGAGCAAGAGATTGATTTGTTAGGCTCAGACAGCTTATCTAATCCTACAGAGAGGGTAAGTACACATCACCTAGAGCTTAGCAGACTGTGAAGCAGTACCCAACATTGCAGGGAAGTCATTTGCTAATGTCAGCCAGCTCCCTCCGTCTACCACCATGGTCATGCCCGTCACATAGGATGCCAATGGGCTTGCCAAGTACAGCGCACTATGGGCAATCTCCGTCTTGTTTCCTGCCCGCTGGAGAGGGATTGAATTGAAGCGGCTGCTAGCTTCAGAGTGTTTGCCACCTAAAGAGAAGAACAATGTAAACCAAGATACAGCAACTGATTCCCCATCCTAGTGCCAGGCACTGCAACTGAGTGGTAGTGAGGGGCGCAGAGGGGGGAATCAGACACCAGTGATAGGAGCCACCCTAATGAGACACCAAGACCTGCGTGGGGATCTGGCCAGGGGAAAAGGAAGACCCAGGCTGAACATCCAAAGAACATTCAGCTCAGGCGATCTCTCCAGCTCAAGAATGGCTTCCCATGAGTGGCAGTGGTGTTTAGTCCTGGACTGATCCCTGGAGAATGCATAGGAGAGAATAATCCTCCTGTGGTTGTTGGGAGAAGGGGTCAATAGAGTAGATGATTTCAAAGGTCTGATCCAGTCTCTGTGAATGGATGATCATAGAGACATTTCTACCATTTCTTAAGCACAAAGACAACAGGCTGGCTCTGGGGGAGGCAGCACAGACTAGCATCACACTGTGTGAATGGGTGATGTTGCAGAGTATCACCAAACACAACAGAGACTTCATCAGTGTTAATGATGAGACTAAAGAGCGAGCAGAGCAATCCATGTTTGCCACAGCCACCAATGGGTAAAGTGATGAAGAGGCAGTGAAGAGTGCTCTCAGCTTCACCCACAGAAGAAACGCATGCTAGCTGCCAGGGCAAGCCCCAGGGAGAGCCCAACTACAGCTGCAACACTGTGCTGCAAGCATCTCTGCTTTGGGGGCCAATACACCAGCTGAACTGCCCACCTTTTATGCAGACAAAAGTGAACTGTATGTTTAATGCTAAGCAGAAAACCATCCCCCTCCCCTATGCTTGAGAAAGATGTCCTGGGGAGCTCCTTACCAAGCCGCCGATATCCCTCAGTGCCTGAAATGGGGCCGGGGGCCAAGCTGTTGACCCGGATATTGTTGGGCCCCCACTCTACCGCCAGGTGCCTGGTCATTGCATCTGGGAGGAAAAACATGAACAAAGTAATGAAAACACTTAGAGGAGCAGCAGTTCAACTGAAGGGACATGGAGATGAAACAGGCTATGGCAGGGCTGAAACACAGAGGTTGGGCCTAGAAATGGTAGGAAGAACCTGGAGCAGCTTAGAGGGTGCTAAGTGTCTGCAGGGGGCTGAGTAATCTGACTGCAAAGCAAGGAAACACTCACCGCAAGGCCTGATCCCCTGTTGGGGGGATGGGGGGGAAGCTGTTCATCACTACCTTTAGCAAGCAGGTCCTAGCAGTTTTCCATTCAAGGCCTGCCTCTGTTCTAGGAACTGTATGACTAAGGTCACCTTGACTCCAGCTGCAGAACGTCACCTGCTGGAGTGAGCTGCTCACAGGCCACAGGCCCTACAAGTTCTCCAAACACCTCTGCCATTGAAGTCAGGCAGGATACTGAGCCAGTCACTTAATGCCAGACCCCAAGCCCAGTTAAATCTATGAATAAAGGCTGTGGTTGACTTCAGAAGCTTTGGATTGGCCCTGGGGAGTGACCTTTATAGCAAGAGTGAAAAATGGGTTAGGCACTGCTTTGCTGAAGGCTGGACAGGGCTAGACAACATAGCCTGTTTTACCAAGCCTGCTGTTACTGTTCTCTTCTGGAAAATCTTTTTGGCATCCCAGAATTTATCATTCTACAACACCACAAATGCTGAGAAGGAAGGGGAGGAGGGAGTTAGGGGGACTCCTGGTTTGGCCAGTGTTAAATTCAAGGACTCCAAGTGAAGCAGAAAACATGGAGGGGGTGGGGGGTGGGGAGAGAGAATTAAATTTCACTGGAGTTCTGCATGGAATGTCTCCTCAGCAAGTGCTGAGCAGAAATCAGGCTTGCCTGAGCTCCTACCTTCAACCTCACCTGAGGCAAGGTGTGTGGGCCGGCAAATGTGCCTGATTACTATTAGTACACAACTCTCCTTCAGGTGGTGCCCACGTTCTCCAAAGGCACATCCCCCCTCAGATACTCTGGAAGAACAGAAATGCTGCTGACCTGTGCTACTTGGAGATGCAGAAAGAAAACAGGTTGGCTAGGTGTGTTACTATACCTATAGCTGCCTTGGCAGTCCCAGCATGCACTTGGAGAGCCTGCCCTCTGTAACCCAGGGTTGCCGTGATGTTAATAATAACCCCACCATGGTCCTGAATGAACAAAAGATGAGGCGTTAGGGACTGAGCCAGGGAGACTCCCTGGAAAGGCAGCAAGGCCTGGACATGGGCAGGACTTACCATATTTACTCAAATATAAGAGATGACCCTGATTATGATTCTCCAATTAGAGTCTATATAGGTAAAATGTATACATTTTATGTCATTTTACAGGTATAGAATCTAATTATTGGAGGTTTGTCTTGAATTTACCCCCCTCCCACTGCTACAGCACAAAAAATAAGTCTGGTGGGTCAGGTAGCTCCTTTGCCCTCCTGCCCTCCCCCTGCACAACTTCTTTCTTCAGCAGACTCTTCCCAATCTCCTTACTATCAGACCCTGCTCTCCCTGATCACATGGAAGTGAGGAACAAATTTGAAAATATTGGTCTTGAAATAAACATACCAATAGCAATTTGCAAATAGTACCTAAAGACTTAGTTCACTCAGAAATGATGCAATTTACCTTTTTTTGAAACTGCTGCAAGTTTTATTACAAGTACTCCAAAAACATACCTTTAAGTAGTGCTTCATCACCTACTGAGAGAGAGTACAAGCTTTTTTCCTTTGGCTTAAAGGCAAATTAGTTCCGAATTCCAAATCAGCCAGGCCAAGCTCAATTGCTCAAGTCTATGTGGCTCTACCACCAGGCAAGTCTCCTCCCTCCAAGACCTATCAGTCTTATTCCCCAAATCCATGGCAGGCATCTGATGTGCAAGCCCCAAGCCCAAAGACGTTCTAGTTCAGATGCCCCCTAGTCACACTTGCTTCTACCCAAAAGGCTGAAGAAGCAAGCCAGAGGAGAGCACAAACACAGTCCCCCATTACCACAAAATAGTGCAGTCAAGTTTACCACATATGGGAAACTTGCAGTGGTTAGCCTGCCCAGAGTGCAATGGACAGGCCTCACCCTGGGAAAGCCTGTTGACCACAGTATCTCCCCTGCCAGGTAAGTTCCTATCTGAAACCTGTTCTCCCTGATCACATGGAAGCAAGAAGCAAATTTGAAAGCAATGACCTTGAAATTAATCATAGCTGGAGTAACTTGCATATAGCACCCATGGACTTCAGCTCACCCAGAATCAATGCATGTTACCTTTTTTTGAAACTGCTGAAAGTTTTAGCACAGGGGTACTCCAAGAACACACTTTTAAAAAGCACTCTGGCAACTACTTATATACAATACAAACTTTTTTTTTTTTAAATAAAATTTTGTTTCTAAGACCAAATCAATTTTGAAGTTTGGAATTTTGACTAAGCAGAGCTCAATCACTCCAATTTGTGTGGCACTACCACCAGTAAGTATCCTACCTCCTAGACTCATCAGTCTGGGGCTTCAGATACTCCTAAATCCATGGTAGGCATCCTATGTGCAAGCTCCAATTCTGGAGGCCTTGGAGATGAGATGCCCCTTAATTTCACTCACCCCTAGCCAAAAGACTGAAGAAACAAGTTAGGGGGAAAGCCTGAAAGCAATACCCCAATCGCCATACATCATGTAACAGAGATCCTTGCATTTGGAGGCATTTGTACACTCTTGTAGAGGTCGGCCTGCCCACAGTGCAAGTGCCCACAGTGCTTTCACCCTCTAATTACATGCAAGTCATTCAAGGCCGAGAAGATGGTACCCCAGTTCCAGTCATGAGGGGTGCCAATTAGCATATGGATCCTTTATAGGAGAATGGGTATCTGGAGAACACTCACATACTCAGCAGTGCTGAGCTGGGGGGTCATCACGACTTGAAATGCTGTTGACTCTGCTGGGGCCCAGCCCAATGAACTACACAGTCAACTATGAGCCTTTTGGCTTTGGACTAATATCATACATAGTTTGTCTTCCCTTGCCCAGTGTTCCAGGTCCTGGGTACTGCCTGCCAACAAAGGCCAAGGCCTAAAAGCGGCTTGCCCAGGGCCTGCTGTGCAGTGCTGCTGCCTGTGCTGCCCACCTACAGGCCGGACAGAAAAACAAAAAACCCCAACCAACTGGTAGACTGGATCTGGCCCACAGGTCTTAATTTGCCCACCCCTGATCTAGAGGCATGGAAGCACATGAACCAAAGAAACCAAGTGGCCATCAGAGTCATATGTGAGGCTATCAGCAGTCAGAAGGAGGCTGCGACTGAAACCCTAGAGACTGGGGGCAGGGGGAAACAAGTGTTACTACAGAATACCTTAATACCACAAATACCCTCTAAACTATTGTGCAGAGGCTTGTCTTCCCCATTGCCCCACGTATCAAATGCCCCACCCAGCCTGTTGCATACAATTATTTATGAAGGATGACTTGTCAGTGAACAGCCCGGCTGTATGGGACAGTTCAGGCTATGAACCTGTGTTACTAGTATCTCACAGACCTACTTGAGTCAGAGGTTGACATGGCAACATGCTGATGTTTTCAAAAAAATGGGAGGATGTTCATAGCTGAAGCCACCCAAATGTAGTCCAAATGGTCACTGTTAATGGGTGGAGGCTGTCCGCAGTATAATATTTAATACTGTCCACAGAGGGCACGTGTAGCAAAGTTCATTCAGGCAGTGTGGTGCAAGTGTGGTCTGTCCCCTCCTCCACATCAGACCTGTGGCTGACCCCACAGCACTCTGCATGAGGCTAAGCCCTGCCTGCTCTGGCTGAGGGCAGCCCATGCTGGAATCCCACCTGCATCCATCCTGGCCCCAGCCAGCATGTAGCTTCCTGGTGGGGCTGCTCCTGGTGCGGCTCCTCCTCCTCCAGCCCCTGCTACACCACTTCAAGCAGAACATAATGTAGAGAAGCCGTGGGGATGCGCACTAGGAAGCAGATGCACAGCCACGCAGTAGCAGGGGGCAGGAGGGGGTGGGGAAGAAGCTGCAGCTAGGCAGCTCCTTCCACAGCATGCAGGGCTCCAGCTCCAAACTGCCTTCTACCCACTTGGCCACCTGCAGGTGGCTGCCCATTGTGCCAGGCAGGAAGACTGGATGGAAGGAGGCCTGGAGTTGGAACCCCATGAGCTGGGGCAGGAAACATCTGGCTACAGCTCCCCCCCTGCTTGGCTGGGTGTTTGGTGCCTGTTACATGTGCTGCTGCTTCCCCCCTCTACCTGCTGCCCATGGGAGCAGTGGCATGGGGGAGGAGGAGGCAGCCGCAGCAGACGAGTCACTGGAGGTAGAGGGAGCCAAGCAGTGCCCAGGTGGCTGCAGCTGCACCAGAAGCAGCTGCGCAGGGAAACTATGCACTGGCCTGAGCCGCTGTGGGGCATACACGGGAGCGTGGTGTGGGCTACCCCACCAGGCCACAAAAAATCAATTGATGGGCACCCACCCGCAGGCCAGATCCAATTAGTTGGCAGGCTGTATACAATTTGCCCTTCCCTGTCCTAAGAGAATGGTGATCCAGGATATTCATTATTAAATGCAGCACTTGGCACACAAGGAAAACCTCCACCACCTTCCCTTTTTCCCTGTACTTCAATAAAAGGTTGTGGTGGTTGTTACTGTAATACCAGCAGTGACTCAACGTAAAACCTCAGATATGGGTTAGCTGTTTGATGCAACAGCAAACAAGGATTTAATTACTTTGTTCACACATGGGCCTCTGTTGTAGGAAGCACTTACCCTCAAGCATTTCTCATATAGCACTTTGGAGACATTGAAGGTGCCAAGGGTATCTATATCAATCACCGTCTTATAGGCATTGAAGGACAATGCACTGGCTGGACACAGGAAGTTCCCTGCAGCATCTGGAGGGAGAGAGCATCCACGGGCACAGTCAGTGGGGTGGTTGGTAAAGGAGGCTGCTATAATCTGGAGTCAGGCAAGTACAGGGCACTGCACCCTGGCTTTCACTGCAGCACCAGGTTGAGGCATATATATATGTGCAGGTGCCTGTGTGCGCCAAGGTCCTAGCTGCACACTATATTCAGAGATGACAAAAGCCCCAAAGGCAACCAATGCAAAGCCACATTTAATCTAGTAAACACACAGGGCATCTATATACATGCTGCAGGATGGTGAGTGGGGCGTTTTAATTAGAGTGGCTGAGAGCCACTGAAATTAAAGCGCCTGCAGCATCACATGTATTCAGCATCCTGTTTCAAAATGGCGGCATGGGTGCTTAGTTAAAGTGCCCTTGCTGTCATTTTGAAATGTGGGGATGCTAAATACATGGGACACGGAGACTGCTAGAGCATGCTAATTAGCATGCCGCAGCAGACTTGATCAAGTCTGCTGTGATGCATGCTAATTAGCACGTCAGAGCAGCGCTCTGTCACATGTATAAGCACCCACAGGGTTGAGGGGTAAGGAAATGAAAGGCTCACATGCCACTTAGCACAGTATGCCATGTGCTCAGACATGCAAGTAACCATTTGAGATGTCAGCAGGTGGCTATCAAAGCTACTCTTGGTTTACTACCCAGACACTATGGATCCAAGGTGTTGGTGGGACACTATCACCAGCAGCATTACTTGGGGGTGAGGTGAGAGGCACTAGTGGGGCACCAACCTAGAGAGGGCATCAGAATGGCCTCCTTGGCCCTTACCACACTATGTCATGGCAGCCCTGCATCATTTAGCCATTTGCCAGGAAGCCTCAGGCAGGTAAGATTACTCTCCTTTGCCATCCCTACACCTGATCTCCTGCACTTGGCATCCTCCAACCTGCTACAGTTTTTTTCCAGGGCCCAAAACTCATTAGCTACATCTCTGACTGTCACGTACCCCAGCTGTGCCCACACTGGTATTTTTTATTTATTTTTTTTAAAGTGCCCCAAGCCTTTAGGAAGTCCTTGTGCTCCTGCCCTGGAGCCCCCTTACTCTCTGCTAGGGCAGGAGCAGGAGAGCAGCCAGCCACGTAAGAGGTCTTCTCAAGCGGGAGCAGACACCCTGTTACCTTCAGCGCCTGGGCGCGTCACCAAGAGCTGGGCCAAAAGGCATATTTTTCTGAGAGAACTTCTGGACTGCGATCCATCACAGTAAAGCCACCCCGGACTTTGGGCCAGGAAGCTGCTGGGTGTCAAAATTCTGGCTGCAAGCACATCAACACATCAGTCAATCATGGCTGATTTGAACTGAGGTTGAGATGGATGCTGCAGAATGGGTCAGAGCTACTCAGGGATGTGCCAGTAATACTCTCTTCCTCACTGGCTTGTTTTCAGACTCATGCCACCACCAGGAAGCCCTAGTTTCTGACTAGTGCCATTACCACCACAGATGCCTGCAGGGCTGTGAGAACACAGAAGCCCTTGCTCCTGATCAGACACACATTCCTCTAGTTTGGTAGCCTGCTTCCAGTGTGACTAACGTCAGGGGATCTAAAAACAGGACAAGTCAGACATGTGCAAACGTGAACAGGATACTGTCCCCTAAGGTAACTTCTTCTTGTACCCCAACACATGTGGCAATCAGCTTGTACCCTAATGCATGTGGGTTGAGAGGGCTTGCCATTCCCCTTCCCTCCCCGACTTTAAAAAGGAACTCACTATTAATGAGGATGTCGATTCGTTCAAATTCTTTCAGAGCCTCATCCACAGCTGCTATAATTGTTTGGGGCTGTCTCACATCTAAAGAAAGAGGCAGGCATCGCTGACCCGTAGCAGCTGCCAGCTTCTTAGCTGCCTGGAAAGGACAGAGATATTTTGCTTTAGAGAACCTTTTCTTTCCCTCTCCCAGTCAGTTGGGAGAATCAGAATCTGATGTAAAGGATAAATCAGGCAGACAGTCCCCAGGCCTGTCATGAGATAGGGTAGCTGCTTGGGTGAACCATTACATGTTTCTGCTGTACGCTGTTAGATAGCTACCATGTGTCCCATCCTGTGTCGTCCCCGCCCCCCCAAGATGGCTGCATTTGGAAGGCAAAGGAAACAATTCCATGTTCTAATTTGTAAGTTGCTTGACCAAGTCTTGAGATGATTATCTAGAGGTGAATCCAATTCAGAGGTACCAGACCAGGACTGTAAACTTGGGTCTTGACACCAGATTACCAGAAAGATACTGACGTCTTGGATGGAGCTGAGGCAAGTGACATGCATGAATGGAAAAGACCAGAGGCATTCACTTAAACAGGAAAATTGGGAGCGCTGAAATTTCAGCCTGACAAAAGAATGGGTAAGCTAATAACAGTCTGCAGTGCCTGGTGAGTGAAATTAGGAAGAGCAGAATCAAACCAAGGAAAGTCAAATCTGGGCATAAGAAAAGGCTCCTCAGAGTGAAATTGTCAAAGCTGTGGGAAGAGGAAGGACCCTTTTTGTTTGGGTTGTTTAAACTGAAACAGACAACAAACAAAACAATCCTGCAAAAGAGAACTCAGCAGTAGTGGTCTTAGTGGTACTGGCAGATCTTTTCATCCTCAACTTCCTTGTCAATGAAGTATAAACATGTCATTATCACTACTGAGTCACCCTTGGCTTCTGGGTCCTATTTCTGTGCGTAGATGACAGATTCCAGAGAAATCACATTCAGAATCTTTCTACTTCATGAAAGCCAGGCTCAGACCTGAAGCACAAAGCCAAAAGAACTGGCACGCAACAGAAACTCTTTCCAGCTGAAGTTTTTGTAGTAAGGGTTGTTGACATTACACATCTGAGCCTAACAGGGAAATGAACCACTGAGCAGGAAAGTGAAAAGAGCAGAAAGTTCTGCTGTTTGTATTCAGTCTCATTATACCGTTGTGCATCTAACTCCTGTCCTGAGTCTGGAGAGGTTGACTTCCTCATTCCCCAAGTTCACCAGGTATAATGGTTTGTCCACACAGGAACATGACCCAAGCCAAAAGATTTTTGTCATCACATTGAGACACCTAGATACCATGGCAGGAGCCAATTCAGAGTTGTTCTCTAGAAAGGAATCTAAACTCTGTCCCATATAATGTCCGTTCTAGCCCTAGGAGACTTTGCTCTGGATAAATGATGCCAGGATTTGTCCTGCTGCCTTGGCAGAAGCCCAGAAGCAACGAAGCCTGAAATAGAAAGCTGCGTGGCCTTTGTTCCTGCGATTCACCTAATGCACAGCTCTTGGACCAATGCAGACCAGAAGAGTAAATATGAACCAACACTTCTGGGAGCACAGTCAGCCCAGCAAGAGAAGGCCGGCAGCAAATCAAAGAGGAGTCCTACAGCATCATAGCAGCAAAATATATAATAATAAAGAAAAACCAATGCCAGGTGCAAAGGCATCGCACTGCAAAACAGGGAAGAAATAACAGCAATCCACAACTCCCTCTTTGCAATCAGGCAGTTCAGATCCTAGGGATGGGGCACAAAACATAATCAGCACTTTTCCTGCAACTCCCTGCCCCTCAGTGGCCGCCTCAGTTGATTGCATGAGAACAGGCCACTACATAAATTTGAAGACAGGAGTATCACCCAGTCCTGGAATCTCATGTTTCACCATCTTCTGGGTTTTGTAAGCCCCAATTGAGTACAAGGAAATACCAGCTTTCATTAAAATAAGTAATAGCTTCTCACCCTCATGACTGCAGAGAATGAAAATGGGACCCAGAACACTGTAGACTGCAGTAAGCCCTGGGCTGCTTAGTGCTAATATAGTAAGCATTTGCTTGCATCTGCTTGACCAGAGTTTGGATAAGAGAAGAGACAGCAACAGAAGTAAGTGAGCAGGGAAGAGAACATTAGAGGAAGAAAGAGTTTAGAGAGCACAAGAATGAAAGGTCAAAAGTAGTCAGCTGAGGGTCGCTTAGAGTTTGTTTCATGGTTAAACCAGCTAGATCTGGTTTAGGACACAGCATAGGATCACAGGAAGAGAGAACTGGGGGGAGACCCTATGAAGACATCTAGTCCAGTCTTGCTCAGATGCTCACTGCAGGATCATCCCTGCCTAAGCCAGCCTGGTCAAATGTTCTAACTTGCTCTTGAAATCTCACAAAAATAGGTGGCCTGTTTCAAAGCCTGACCACTCTCAGAGTCAGAAAATTCTTCTCGATCTCCAACATAAATTTCCTCTGCAGCAGTTTGACATCACAGCTCCTAGCTCCCTATGGCCTCACTAATGCCAAATTGAGTGGGGGAAAAACCACTTCCCTTGATTTGCAAGAATCACCCCTGTTAGAATCCAGTGTGCTGCTGGTATGTGCTTTTTGTTGCTGCAACAAGAGCACTTGGTTGCTTCATGTTCTTTTTATGGTTCCCCAGGTCCTTCTCTGCAGTACTGCACTCTAGCCAGTCATTTCCCAATCTGTATATGCAATTATTGTCCCACGTGCAGGATTTTGCACTTGTCCTTGTTGAATTTAATCTTGCTGAGTGCAGACTCTCTCCAATTTATCCAGGTCATTGGTGGTATCTGAAAATTTGCTAAGTGTGCACTCCATCCCATCATCCAAATCATTAATAAAGACATGAAACAAAACTGAAAATTGGACAGAGCCCTTATACTTTATAAAGGGATAAAAATAAGCATACCAATAGGTTATACTCTGCTTAATATTAGTTGCATGTTTATATTTTATAGCTTTAGCAAGCTTTTGAAAGTAAGCCAGTATAAAAGGCTAGGTTCACCACAATTTTTACTTTTCTGCCTTGAACTACATTTCTTGCTGAACAGCCCATCTACAGATAAACCAAGTTGTAGAGAAGTACCTATTTTGGCTCTAAACCTAGGTAAAAAGTTATTTTCCCCTACAGACTAGCCACCTGTTTGAAGCTTTTAAGATTTTAGGACTTAGTATATTTAAGATTAATATTTTTCAATTTTCACATATTAAAATTGTGTCAGTAACAAGTATTTGATTATTTGACTTGAAATGCTTTACCTCTATTGTCTTATTATTCATGTACTATTTGACATAACACCCCCCCCCCTCAAACTTTCTTTGATCCCCAGAACACTTCTGGGGGGTTACCAGCACCAACAAACAACAACAACAACGAAAATGAAAAAAACAACCTGACTCTGATTTTTAAAAATCTTATGGGACTTTGTGTATGGGAGGGAGGGGGCGGGTGGGGGCTAGACAGAGCTCACTCATAAGTTGAGTGCTAAGTATTTGCAATGCTGCAATAAAAAGCTCCTTAAAAGGCAATTACTGCTCATGTCTTGTTTTTACCTTACCTAGGATTGCATTCTTACTCCCCCTCTTTTTAATGATTAAAAAAGTATACTTAGTGATGCAGAAACTACTTTTAAAAGTCTACCGAGCTCATCCTGTGGAAGCCAACACAGGACCTGTCTGTACACTGGCCTTGGACTCAGAATACCAAAGTTCAACAACATGTAACTCTGCCATCATTTGGCTGGCATGACTTTGGCAAGTGTCTTCACGTCCCCATACCTCAATTTCCTCAGCTGTAAAATGGGGGCAGAGATGCCAACCTTCTCTGTAAAGCACTTTAAGACCTACAGGTAGGAAACATTACATCAAAGCTGGGGACTGTTACTGTAATCGTTTTCCCAGTGTCCTGTCCACTCAGCTGTGTATAACTCAGGCAGCAAACTGCCTCCCTACTGTCCCCATTTAAAACTAAACTCAGCCAGAGGGGTCCTTGGCTCAGACTGATCCTTAGGCTCCATGTAACATCCCTTCAGACTACTCAAAAGCAGTTCCTTGGGGCCATCTTTTGCTTCCAAGGTGCTCAAAATAGCCTATGCTGTTCAGCA